CAATGAAGGCAAGGTAGATGACTCCCCGGCCAATGAAGGCAAGGTGGATGACTCCCCGGCCAATGAAGGCAAGGTGGATGACTTCCCGGCCAATGAAGGCAAGGTGGATGACTCCCCGGCCAATGAAGGCAAGGTGGATGACTCCCCGACCAATGAAGGCAAGGTGGATATGACTCCCCTGCCAGTTAAGTTGCTTTTACAATGATTTATGAAATCTTTTTCTTTTTGTATCAAAACTACGTGAATTACAAGTCGTTTGTGTGATGCGTTTTTCTCATCACATTTCAAACTCCAGCAGTAGTCACCTAACATTGTTGAATTCCACCTGCCTTGATATCTTCTTTCAATCTCCTTCATATCTTGATGGAATCTTTCCCCTTGTTCTTCACTGGCTTCTCCCAGATTTGCGAGGAAAAAGTCCAAATAAGAATAAAGAAAATGCAGTTTTACACTCATGTTACAACCTAATTTTTTGAAGTTATCCAGCATGATCTCAATTAGATCTTTGTAATTAGCTTCCTTTCGATTTCCTAAGAATCCTTTAATGACTGCTTTGAAACTTAACCATGCATTTTTCTCATTGACGGTCATTGTTTCCGCAAAATGTTCATCCTTCATTAGTTTTCTAATATCTGGACCAACAAAAATACCTTCTTTAATTTTCGCTTCACTTAAAGATGGAAACTGTTGTTGCAGATATCGAAAACAGTTACTCTCTCGGTCCAGTGCTTTTACAAACTGCTTCATTAGCCCAAGCTTTATATGCAGGGGAGGCAACAGAACATTGTTTCGGTCGATCAGCGGTTGCTGAGTAATATTATGCGAACCTATTTCTAGTTTTTCTCTTAATGGCCAATCTTTTTTTATCCAGTGTAGATCTTTCGCTCTGCTGTCCCACTTGCATATAAAGCATGGGAATTTAGTATAACCTGTTTGTTGTCCAAGAATCATTCCAATAGCTTTTAAATCACCACAAACTTTCCATTTATGTTCATCATACCGTATTGACTGAAAAACCAAATTCATATTGGTGTACGACTCCTTCAGATGCGTTGAATAAACAATGGGAATAGACGTATACCTATTACCATTATGCAAAAGCACACCTTTTAAGCTTCTTTTCGAGGAATCTATGAAAAATCTCCAATCCGCACTGTTAAACTTAATTCCGTATTTATCCAACAAACCCGAGACATCGTTACAAAATACTAAAGAATCCTCTTCGGTGAAAAACCGTGAAAACTCTTTCTGGCGGGACCTATACCACGAAAAGGATGTTTTTGGAAGAAGATGATTACGCTCTTTCAATCTAGAGCCTAAAAGTTCAGCTTTTTCTTTCGATAGATCTAAATCCCTGACTAAATCGTTCAGTGCAGCTTGATCGTACAACCGCGGAGTCGTCTCTAAACTGTCTAAATCGTACATAACATTGTTATCCTCATTAACAGCTTGTTCCTCATATTGAAAATTTGTCTGAGATGTTCTTGACTTTTGATGAACAGGTAGTGGATCCATAGAGGATCTTGGAGTCGGCTTTGTTACGGTACATCCGGATATTTTATAAAATTTTTATTCTTACTATTGTAACCAAATACATTGCATAAGCAGAAATAGCACTCATCGTGACTCTTTGGTTCTCGCCAGATCATCGGTGTGCTGAAATGGAAATATTTTGGTTTACCAATATACCATGATCTTAAGACTTCCACACAAGATTTGCATGATTTGTGCGGAACCCAACTTTTATCCTGATGAGTAATTTCACGATTAAAATAATCATAATACCTCTCTTTTAAAGAATCGTTTATAGAAAATATATGCTTCGAGAGCATATATTTTCCACAAATATAGCAGAATCGATCAGGATTATTAACACAAACCTTCCTAGACATCGCAAAAATTAATGAAAAAATCAGAAATTAGAAAAAGATCTTTGCAAAAGTATAAAAACTGCAAGTAAATGTATGACGTTATAAATTTTCTAGAATATAAAAACTGGAAAGGAGCAATAAATGAATGAAGAATGTTGGAATGGATACGGCCGATACGGGTCAATATACTACGTCGAGTATTGAGTTCGAAATGTGAATTATAATGGAGTTAAATATATTTCTCTCTCAGGAAAAACCTGTTTATAAACAGAGTCCAGGTCACGGTGTGTGCCCGAGTGCCGTTTATCCCCACTCCAAGCACCGCGCGCCGCGAGAAGCAGCGCCGCGCGACGCTTGGAGTAGTGATGCACATTTGGCCCCCGACGGAAAACCCGCCCCACCATTTTTACCCCCATCAAGCAGACACCTACTAGCATCGACCAGTGGTGCACATTTGGCTCCCCGGCAACACGAGAATCATCCCCACCACTCTCGCTGTCTCG